CCCCAAAACCCCAAAACCCCAAAACCCCTTAATTCAACATTTAGAAGACATTAGTATTAGAATTAAGAAATAATAAATAAATTAAGATAGGTTTAGCTTAAAAAATAATTGAGAAATTTAAATTTATGAAGAATGATGATATTAAAGAAATAGTTTTTAGTATCATTTTAGTGAAAATACTGTTTGTTAAATTTAATGAGTTAACTTCAAATTCCAGCAACCTTGAGAATGTTCTCAAATTGAGCTGGGATCTAGGCAAGTTGTTCTCTTGAAACACCTTGGCCTGTTTTGATGTAGTTGTTTAGGAATGAGAAAGCGTAGAAAAAGATTTGGTTAATGGCAACAACTGCAATGACCCAAGTGTGACTTGTCCAGCTGTCCCATGTAATGAAGGAGTAAGCCCAGTTTCCCCAGATATCCTTAACAAAGTATGAGAGTGGGATATAGCTGAGAATAGCCCAGAGAGTTCTAGCAGCTCCTCTTTCCCAATCAAAAATAATGTTGTTGGTGAAGTATTCCACCAAAAGAGTTGCAGCGGGAACTGCGTGCATGAAAAGAGGATAAACCCATGTGGTCCAGTCACTAGTCATTTGACCTTCATAGTAAGTGGTCCAGTAGAGTAATGTTGTCATCATGTTGAATGGGAACACAATCTCGAAGATCGCCTTAACAAGGTTATCATAGAGAGGATCGTAAGCTCTTGTGTGAGACCAGAGCAACATGAGCTGCACCAAAACTGATGTGAAGGCGGCCCAGTCAGACATAAACCAAGGGAATCCAGCGATACCCCACTTAAAGAGTGAGTATCCTGTCAAGGTAGTGCTGAGGAGGTTTGTAACAATTCTAATGTACATCATTCCATTTCCACTCAAGCCTGAAATCCAAGATTCAGTAAGTTATAAACCATCACTTCCTGAGGTTCTGGATGCTTATAGGATAAGATCTACTGCTTGCATTAAATTTCTTATTTTTAATTATTATTGAATAGCGGTAATAAGTATTGGCAATATCTCAATTTAAGCAATTAAGCATTTTAAATTAGTAAGTTTAGCTATCGTACATTATTATTAAATTTAGATCCACTTTATTCACATTTATCTTTCCACTTTATTTTTAACATTAAGAATGCACGGGGTTTTGGGGTTTTGGGGTTTTGGGG